TGTGAAACATAACGCCGTGCATCACACACAGACACTAAGCTCATCCCCTCTGCAAGTCCCCCACAGCTTCCCAGAGACATGAGTGCAATGATCTCCCTTTCACCCAGGGGGAAACTGAGGCACGTACCAGTGAATTGACCATTTGAGCTCAGATCTGCCTGGGTCAAAAACCCCAGTTCCATCTTCAACCCAGCAGCTGAAGCAAGGCCTCTATACCCACCACAGGCACAGCAAAGACTGGAGCAATGCATTCCCCATTGCTGTGCTTTATCTCCGTGGGGGAAGAGATGTGGGTAAGTCACTCCTCTGCCTTTCCACTGGGCCTGCTCCTCCCTGGCTGTGGATGACAACAGTGTTATCAAAATACTCGTTTGTCTGCAAGAGCCTGGCCTAAGAGCATATGAACATGGTTGCATCCAGAAGCTATAAATGCAGCACAAATGAAAAACATGCTATTAGGCGTTTAGAACAAGCTCTTAAAAGGAGGATCCTAACCTTAAGTTTCCATTTTTTGAAAATCTTTGCTTTAACTGATAAGTAGAGAGTTTTATTTCCTGCCCCCACCTGCAGCAAGTCAGAAATACTTACCATTTTTTAAAATCCACATAATCTGAGAGGGACAGAACTAAAAACAAATTTAGCTTTAGAACATATGGCTGGAAAGGGCATTGGGAGTAAAATACCCCTATAGCTGCATACCAGTCACATAGAGAGTTAATGACTTCCATGCCCTGGTTTCAGATCACTGCAGGTGTGCCTCTTAATGAGGCAATGACCGAGCAGGAGGAGACTATAAATTGGGTATAAACAGCAGGTATCAGGTGATGCCTGAGAGCAGGGTGGGTGGTAGGAGAGATGAGCTCTAAAGCATAGTGCTCTGGGAGAGATCCTAGGGGAAACTTTCTTCTGCTGTTTGTGGAATGGTTTCTGGTAGCAGACAGACCTCCTCACTGAGCTCAGGGCCTACTTTCTCAGGTGCTCCAGAGATGGCAGAAGACATTCCCGAGCTTATAGCTCAAATAACTTCATGTCAAGTTTGCAGTTACAGCCAGGGCGCTCTCAAGCTGCATTTTTAGTAGCCAAACTTGCTAGAAAGCAGGGGTGAGAGATGCTATGATGCTGATACTGTCCCTCTATTCCTCCAACCACAGCAAGGAAATGCTCATACTTAGAAACGGCTCATGGATCTGAGTGACTCTTCAAAGCCACCTGAGTTTTTATACTGAGTTTTAGAGGGGGCTTGACTCTAACCCTAGACAAGCAAGTTCTCTGCAGGCATCACATGCTCCAGGGAGGAAGGGGGCTTCTGTTTTTTCTTGATGATACAGGAATGCAGACACGCGCTGCTTTTTGTCTGTAACATTCAAAGTATTTAGCTGCCAACCTTGTTATTATGCTAAAAGGAGGGTGGAGCACAACTAGGGCTGTGTTGAGAGGGGAAGCAGCTTTATGATGAAATTCTTCCTAGACGCAGCCTTTGCCCAGGTTCTGGGTTGATTAACACATAGGAAGGATGATTTTTTTTTTTTATTGAGAGACCAGGTGTAAAAGCACAGTTTTTTATTGAGTAGGCTCTTTTGTGTATATATACTTTACCGAGATAGATACTGCATGAACAGCAGAATTGCAGAGCATATCAGCTATAGGCAAAGGGAGAAGAAACTCCTCCTGTGCTTCAGCTGCTGGCTGGAATAAGACAGGGAATCTAGGAAGTGGAAAGATTTTTCCAAATGGCAAAACTGCACAGTTGTGTGAATGTTGTGCTAGGAGAGACTGGGAATCCACAAATTTGGCTTGAGCAAGCACATGGAGGAACTTTAAACTGGATCCTGATGAGTGGAGAAGTCAGTGTAGCTGCCTGGGGCTGGGGAGATGAGGATGTCTCTTCTGAAATGCAGGAGTAGGAGGGGGGATGTTTTTCCTGAAGTTGGACTTCATGTTCACAGGCAAGGCAAAATCCAATGTGAGATCCCCATCGCAGTTCAGTAATGGCTACTTGAGTTACTTTCTCCTTTTTTTTTTTTTTAATGATTTGTTTCATGAGAGAAGCCAGGGCTCCAGCTGTGAATCAGACCTAGGTGCTGTAAAAATAATTCAGTTCCCCACACATTATCTTTAGCCAATGACAGTTCTCTGCTCCTAGAGGCATTTGATGACTCCTCTTTCCAAAGGATCCCCATGGAGGGTGGCATGCATGTAAGCAGCATGAGCTACAGGGTGCAATTCCTGGAGGCAAATCTATTCATTTTTACCCAGAAAGAGCCAGAAAAAACGTTCTGACAGTGCCCCAGGTTCTGCGGTGCCTTTCCTGCCATGCAGTTTTTAAGAAGGAAAGGTAATCTGAGGATTGTTTCTGTTCTGGGTCCTGGCACTCACTTTGCTGAGACATAGCATGGAAAAAATATTCCCGGTTGCAACACACCCCTAACATGCTGCTGGGGCCATCTTGCCTGGTGATTGCAACGCTCCTTGAAATCTTCCATACAGGCAGGATCTAGAAAGCTAGTATCCCTGACCCCTCAGTTAAGAATTTAAAGCAGAAAAGAAGTGGCTGGGTGTTCATTTTTAATATGGGTGTTATTTATTTGTACACAAGGTTTTTGGGGTATATGTGACACCTTTTATTAGACCTACTAAATAGTTGGAAAACTTGTTTTTTGCAAGCTTTAGGGAACAAACTCCCTTGTTTATTTGTATGGAATCTAGAAACCAAACAAGAGAAAAGCTCTAAGCATCCTATAAACTTTGGCACCAAGGGATAAGGCTGCAGTGGCCACTTTAGATTTGATATCTGTTGCAAGGCATCATCAGTTGCCTGGTGCAGGTCTGCAGTGCAGCTATTAAAAAGATAATAGACATTCCCCCATGGTGTGTGCTACAGGTTGGGTTTCTCCACACTCACACTTGGTCTTTAATAACATTACATTTATGGAGTAGGTAGTTACATTTACCTTGGCCAGAATGAGCTCTGCTCAGCATTTAGTATGGGGGGAGGAACATTGCTCAGCTCTGCCTTGGTAAAACAAAGGCAGGAGGTTTAGATGTGGAGTATAGGGTCATAGAAAATGGGGATTGGAAGGGACCACAGCAGGTCACATCTAGTCCACACCCCTGCTCAAAGCAGGACCAGCCCCAACTACATCATCCAGCCAAGGCTTTGTTTAGATAGGTCTTCAAAACCTCCAAGGATGGAGATTGCACCGCCTCTCTGAGTAACCTATTCCAGTGAGATTCCACCACCCTCCTAATGAGATTTTTTTTTCCTAGTATCCAACCTAAACCTCTCTTGCTGCAACTTGAGCCCATTGCTCCCGGTTCTGTCACCTGTCCCCACTGAGATCAGTCCAGCTCCATCTTCTTTGGAGTCCCCCTTCAGGTAGTTAACAGCTGCTGTTCAATCCCCAGCAATAAGAAATGTGTTAGTGAGGTCAGGGGTGATCCATTGCTGGATCCAGTTTTCCTTGATGTTAATATTTTCCTTGTTGAGCTCTTTTCCCACATATGGGCGCTCATTGTGTTTCTTTTTATAATGGCAGCTCTGAGAATGAAAAGTCTGGGATATCTGAGAATTCAAGTAGGTGACACGTGTCTTCACTGAATTGCAAATATTGACTTGACAGTGAAGGGGATGAAAGTAGTTAGGCATGGCCCTGACATAAGAGGATCTGTTGCAGTTGATTGTTTTCTCAGGAATCACCAGTGATCCATTTTTAAGGATGTGTCAGGTGGGAAAGTGACCCGGCTATCTCAACTTGGACCGTACATCGGGGCAGTAGACAAGGGAGCCTCTTGGCAACACGAGCTCTGCTAAGCAGGGACCTTAGTAAGAATGAAAACAATCATTTAATGACTCAATGCAACCACCATTCAGCACAGAACTCAGGCCAATTTAGGTCTGGATGCCAGAAGAAAAAGGCTGGACTGGAGAGAGATGGCTTGGAAAAAGAAAGGTCACTGATAGCAAAAGCCCCATTTTTTTTTTTTTTTAAAGGGTCTTGTTTTCTTGACTATGCCTCCTCCTTTGCATTTGCACCAAGGGTGTAGGTACGGAGGGCAGGAGAGGTCCAGAGTCCTGTGATTCTGTCCACACATGATACTGTGCCTATCCCTACTGCTGGGTTATTTTAGTCCATTGAAACCCTCATTATTGCTGATTCATTGCGGACTGTGAGACAATAGTACGTCAACTCTAATAAGCCAACTTACGTTGCTTTGCTCACGTATTAATGAATATATGCAACGCAATAAGCATACTTCTCCTTAGGCCAAGATACAGAAACCTATTTAAGGCACTCTTGTGCTCCCATCACTATTCTCCCAGGTGCTTAATAGCGTGTGAATAATGCAGTGCTTGATGTTAGGGATGTGAGTAACCACTCAATGAATAATACAGATTCTTTTGCGGCATGTGTTTGACATGTATTTTAAGAACTTAAATAGATTCTCATATTTTGCAAGAATGATGTCATCTTCCTACAACACTAGGGCACAGACTGTTTTTAATTCCTTTTTTTCCCACTTTCTCCCATTCCCCTGGCCAGAGCAGGATTGTTTTCTGTGGTTCATTTATCTGGCTGAGTATTAATGCCCCCACCCACAGAGATCCTCTCAGAATAAAGTACTTTCTGCTGATGGTGGAAGGGCAGATCATTAATTCATCTGCTGATTTTTCTCTGCCTCTAGATCTGGAAGGAGTCAGGCATGGGAGCTTTTTGGGACTCTCCAAAGTTATGGGAGACAGTGACATACGCAACAAATATTAAGCCTCCTGCTTCAGAGATTAAGCTGGTTTCTAGACCAGGGTGGGACTTGTATGTAAGGGCAAATGATCTGCCTCTTCTACCGTCGGCTTCTGACGGCTTTCTCTAAAGCACCCGGTCCTTGGCACTGTCAGGGCTGTGAGCAGGGTGGATGGCAGGGCTATTTCAAAGAGTGTAAAATATACTTGTGAATGAAAGTATGCAATGAGTGACTAAAAAGAAAAAGCAGTTAACTCACTACTATTCAGTTGCATCCAGCTGAGGGGACTTGTCAAAGACTGATACATCATTCCCCTTTAGGAAATCATATTTAACAGTTTGTAAGAAATTCTTTCCTTGCTTTCTTCCCCTTCCTTGTCCCCATTTCAAACCTGTCTGGAAAATGTCTCTGGGCTTCTGGGTATGCACATGTCCAATGCACACTTTTACCAGCAGAGGCCAGTGCACACCGCACACCATTAATACAGATTCTCCAACAATTGGATTAATAAATTGGCATGCAATTCCAGCCGGTGCATGGCTCTGAGAAAAGAGCTCTGCCACTTGGGCTTTGCCTGAAGAGGTGCAGTTTTGGTATCCCCGCACATTTTTCAGCCTGGAAGACGAGCACTTGGCCAAAATGCTGCTGATCAGCTTCAGCTGGGTAACATTTGGCTGAAAGCTGAATCAGATTAGTCTACAGGACTAAAATTATTTTGAGCTTTTGGAGCACGTGCCGGCATATGGTGGGGGTCCAGCTACTGCGGTTCATTTTCTCTCGCTTCCTTTGGGCAGCTATGTCTGTTGTTGTACAGCTTGGTTGATTGAAGCATGTGAAGCGCTTTTGTGTTCCTTGGATGAAAAGGCCTGAAAAAGAGCATAGAGGAATGATTGTGATCCATAATCTAGCCATCATGATTTGGGTACACATAGCTAGCTTTGCTAGAGAAGTCTGCTTTCTGCTAACTCTGCCATCAGCATTAAATCCTTACGTAGGACTTTAAGGACATAAGCCTGGAAAGTATCACTGTGTTCAGGCTCTTGCTCTCCCAGGCAGCCATAATCCCATCCACCAGATCATCTTTTGGAGGGTGAGTGCCTTCACTCAAAATAATATCACTGTTGTTGTTTTTACAGCACCTCTCAAACATGTTAGAGTAAATTGCAGGCCAATGAAAGGATACAGCTGATGTAGTTGGGGATGATATAGTTGGGAATGGTTCTGCTTTGAGCAGGGGTTGGACTAGATGACCTCCTAAGGTCCCTTCCAAGTCTAATTTTCTATAATTTTCCAACCCTAATTTTCTATGATTCTTTGATTAAAGATGTAGTCTCAACCCTAGCATTTCTGATCTCATTTGGTTAAACAATATCATCCATCTAAGCCCCCTCTACCAAAGAAGGAAGTCAAGGAGCCATAAGATCTACTAGGGACCCACTTGACTTAGAAAGTGCTTAGATATGCCACTGGTGCGTATAATAGAAACTTGTGTGATATGCTAGGGGCTGGCAGGGACCTCACAAAAAATCGTCGGGTCCAGCCCCCCTGCACTTGGGCAGATGACCCCAGCAAGATGCGCGTCAAGTCATTTTTTAAAGATCTCCAGGGTAGGTGATTGTTTGAGATGAGTAGCTCAAGGGGTATCTCCAAGGAGGATAAGGCATGTGCATGGAGGGTAAGGCAGGTACATGGCATTAACTTACTTCTGTCATGGATTCTTCTAGATTGCTCCATTAAAAGGCTTGAGTGATGGTTGTTGTTTTAATGGCGACCACTTGTCACAAGCAGTGAGTCATGAGGAGTCATGGATGTGAGTCATGAGGAGGTATTTAAATGAGAAGTTGCTGCAGGCACCAGGACTGAGAGGAAGTTCCATTCATTCAAGGGAGCATCAGGACAGAGGCTTAGGGATAGTTTGGGAAACAAACAGGGTGTCATCAGGGCAAAAGGGTGGAACTGGGACAGAAGCTGACATGTCAAGAAACTAGGCCGATGCCTATGGAAATCAAGGGGCATCTTTTTATACATTTTTAGCAAGCTTTCAGAAAGCCCATGAGTGTAATATGCACATAAGGCAGAGGAATAGCAACACAGAGCCTTGAAAACCAGGGCTGGAAGTGTAAACTAGACATGGTGAAGGAGGGAGGAGATGCTGGATGAATTTGGGGTCTGTAATGGATCTATTGCTACACCTGGTCCATTGGCCGTGCCCTGGATTTTGTTTCTTTCCATGGATTGGGTTTGAAGTCCTTAATTTGACATGCTTCAGTCTACTCAATATGTTAACAAATGTTGTATGGCAGCATTGCTATGCTGCTTCTGTGAATGAAGGCGGTGGAGCCTGAGATGTGACCTCACAGGGGCAAAGGGCTCCAGATACGGCATAGTTGGGAAGGAAAATAAATGAAGTGAGGTCATCTTCATGTTGTCAATGGCCCGCCACAAAAACACAATGTGATTGCATGTAGATGTTCCTCAGAGACTTAGGTGTGGAGTAGCCAGGGGTGGTCGGGGACAAAAACGACTTGGCAGAGCCAAGAGAACCATGTCTGGGCAAGAGGTGAATGTTACCAGACAGGAATGAGGTGTGTTGAGGACCAAAAGACAATAACGAGGAAGGGTGATATCGGATGAGACACAGCAGGTCTATCTGGGGAGCCTTTCCTGTAGCTGAAAATAGTGTACAGTTTTGTAGGCCTGTCAACTGATTGTGCAAGGCATGATAGCTGGTGAGCAAAACTGGAAATCAGGGAAAACAAGTTAAAGAACAGGACTGCAAAATGCTGGGGGGTATGCCATGCTCCCCAGCACAGCCTGAGCACTGTCTAGTAACGCATTAAGCATTGTGATTCATGTCTGGCACATACAGGTTTTCTGGTCCTCTCCCCTGGGGAGCTGTGTACACAGACTGGAATATCTTGTTCTTGGTCAGTTTATTCGGTTGTTCTATTGTGCTTCCGGGTTTCTTCTTTTTAACTGCCTGTATTGCTTATTGGGAATGGCAAGCTCCAAGGAAAGTGCCTTGCCCTTGCAATGAAAGTTGATAGAGTTCACTCTGGTCATTCACTCTCAAAGGAGATCCTTCTGCAGTCTCAAACTAGCCCATAGTTTCTGTACTTTTATTGTAATATCAATAGAGCCGTACTGTAAAATGAACAAAATGCTCACACTCCTGACTATGAAGTTACCAGCCTACCTCTGCCAGTCTGGTAACTGGGGCCTGTCCCCAATATACAGTGCCGCACCTAGACTCCTGGCACCCCCAGCAAACTTTTAGTATTGGCCTCCCCTTCACCAGAGATAACGATCATAATAATCGGACAATGGAAAAAATACCATTTTTATACATTTTAATAAATGATGAGTAGAAGATATAATGTAGAAAAAAAAAAGAAAACCAAATGTTCAAATCACATGCTTTTATTATAAAATGTTTATATAACTCCACTCAGTGGCATTTTTTTTGTTGCAAAAGTCTTTATCACATCTGTGGTATCGATATCTTTAAGTAGTTCAATCTCAATTGATAACATTGCCAGTCCTGTATATACACCATATTAACACTTT